CGCCGTCGCCAGAGTAGCAGTTCGGACCGCCGAGCACAGGGTTTTGCTCGCCTCCTCCGTGCGACCTCCACCGTGGAAGTTTCGCGGTCATCGGAGCAGCCACGCTCCCTCACGCGCCTGCTCCAATCGGACCTCTTTGGTGTTTTAGGGTTTTTCTCTCTCTTCCTCCATGGCATCTTCCGCTGCCACTTCCAATTCTGAAGTTACCTCTGTCAGCTCCGGTGGGTCTGAGCAATCTGTTTTTACTAATTATGTCAATGTGAATTTACCCATTGATAAATTAGATGGTACGAATTATGCAACTTGGGCATCTGATATTAGACTTTGGCTTGAGAGTCAGGGGTATGTTGATCATCTTACTACCAAGGTAGATGATGTTCCTTCCAATGATCGTGTCCGTTGGAAGAAAGTTGATGCTCATATATGTATGGTTCTCAAGAATACCATCGAATCTTCTTTAAAACAAATTTTTCGATCGTATGACACATGTTATGACGTTTGGGAACAAGCCAAATTATTATACACCAAAGACACTCAACGTCTTTATGGTGTTTGTTACAATCTTCTTGATGTTATTGCTCCTCGAGATAAGGATCCTGTGGCGGATTATGTGGGTAAGATCCATGCTCTTCTCCATGAATTTAATGAGTTATTACCCCCTGCCTCGTCTCCTGCCCAAGAATTAGAGCAATGATCAAAGTTTTTCATGGTTTTGATGTTACACGGACTTGCCGATAAATATGCCCTCGTTCGTGACCGATTTTGGGTTCCCCTGTTACACCCGGTTTACCGCTACCAGTTCCTTCCTTTTGCGGGTGCCATGTAAACCTCTCAATATTCCCCCTGTAGTTTCTAATGATTCATCCGCCTTGGCCTCTCACCGTGATGATCGTAATCGCTCTCACAAGCCGGGCAAAGGGCGTGTCAAGTGTGACCATTGTGGCAAACTAGGCCACAAAATTGACAAATGTTATGCTTTACATGGTTATCCTCGCCGATCTGCTGCAGGTTGCTCGGACCGATTCTTCCGCACAATCCTCTGCTGTGGATCCTCCTTCGTCCGTACCTTCGAACAAATCTGCTATCTTCAATGATTTTCTTCAATGGTATGAGGATCGAAAGCCCTCCGGTTCCACTACTTCATTGCCCACACGGTACATCTTTTGCTGGCTCGACTCACTCTTCTTCTATTGGCCCTTGGGTTCTTGACTCGAGCGCCACCGATCACATCACTCGGTAACAAATCCTTATTTTCCTCTTTCACTTCTTCTCATAATTTACCCTCTGTTACAATGGCTAATGGAGTCTACAACTTTAGCTCATGGTGTTGGAACGGTTACTCTTTTCCCTCGTTGTCCATTGATAATGTTTTGTATGTACCGGGTCCCCCTTTAACTTATTATCCATTAGCCGTCTAACTCAATCTCTTGATTGTGTTATCTCTTTTACCAAAACCTCTCGTTTCCCTACGGGACCGGAGCTCGCAAAGAGTGATTGGCACCGGATGTGAGTCACATGGACTTTATTATCTTCAACCTTCTCCACATGTTGGCACATTTATGGAGTCTCCTTCTCTCCTTCATGCTCGGCTTGGTCACCCTGAGTCTGCGCAAATTACGAGCAACTTGTTCCCAGCTTATCCCGGTTGTCCAATTTGGTGTGTGAGTCCTGTCAATTAGGCAAACATAGTCGTACTTCCTTTTCTCGTAGTGTTTCCCAGCGTGCTTCATCCCCCTTTGCCTTAGTTCACTCTGACATTTGGGGACCCGGTTGTGTTAAGTCTAATTTAGGTTTTCAATATTTTGTTACTTTTATTGATGATTTCTCTCGTTGTACTTGGTTATTTTTAATGAAAAATCGTTCTGAGTTGTTTTCTATATTCCAAAACTTTTATCATGAAATTAAAAATCAATTTGGTGTCTCTATTCAAACTTTTTGAAGTGATAATGACCATGAATATCTTTCAAACTCGTTTAAACAATTTATGGCTTCTCATGGCATTCTTCATCAAACTTCCTGTGCTTATACCCCTCAACAAAATGGGGTGGCTGAGCGCAAGAATAAACACCTTATTGAAACAACCCGTACTCTTTTAATTCATGGTGAGGTTCCTCAACATTTTTGGGGTGATGCTGTTCTTACTGCCTGTTATCTTATTAATCGTATGCCGTCTTCGGTTTTAGATAACAAAATTCCCCATTCTATTATATTTCCTCATGACACTCTCCATCCTTTACCTCTGAGGGTTTTTGGGTCTACCTGTTTTGTCCACAATTTTGATCCTGGTCATGATAAGTTATCTCCTCGATCACACAAATGTGTTTTCTTAGGATTTACTCGATCCCAAAAAGGATACAAGTGTTTTTCTCCTTCTCTTCATCGCTATTTTGTGTCTGCCGATGTCACCTTCAATGAGTGTTCCTTTTACTTTAAGGACCCTTCCCTACCTGCTGAGTCTCCATCTGCTACAGTTCCCATTCCTGTTCTCATTGATCCCTATGTTGAGGACCATCCACCATTAGCCCCTCCTCCTCCACCACCCCTTCAGGTTTATAGTCGCAGACCTCGCCCATAACGGACGCCACATGACTCACTCCCGGTGCCAAATACTCGCCTCCTCCGGTTCCAGTCCACGAGTCCGACCTTCCTATTGCCCTTCGTAAAGGTACGCGTTCTACTCGTAATCCTTCTCCACATTATACTTGCTTTAAGTTATCATCGAATTTCTTCACCATTTTATACCTGTCTCTCGACTATTTCTTCGTGTCTATTCCTAAATTTGTCTCTGAAGCCTTAGCCCACCCTGGTTGGCGTCGAGGCCATGCTAGATGAACTCGGTGCTCTTCGGACTAGTGGAACCTGGACGCTTGTCCCATTACCATCTGGAAAATCGTTGTTGGTTGCGGGTGGGTCTTCGCTATCAAGGTTGGTCCCGATGGTACTATTGATCGCCTCAAAGCTCTCCTTGTAGCCAAAGGTTATACCCAAATTTTTGGGTTGGATTATGGTGATACTTTCTCTCCGAGTGGCAAAGATGGCTTCGTTCGTTTATTCATTGCCATGGTCGCTATTCAACAATGGCCTCTTTATCAACTCGGATGTCAAAAATGCTTTCTTGAATGGCGATTTGCAAGAAGAGATTTATATGGAGCAACCTCCCGGATTTGTTGCTCGGGGGAGTCTTCTGGATTGGTATGTCGTCTTCGCAAATCTTTATATGGCCTAAAACAGTCTCCTAGGGCCTGGTTTGGAAAATTTAGCGAGCGTTGTTCAACAATTTGATATGACTAGAAGTGAGGCGGACCACTCGGTCTTTTACCGTCACTCGAATGCTTGGATGTATCTATTTGATAGTGTATGTCGATGACATTGTTCTTACAGTGTAGTGACCATCATGGCATCTCTCGGATGAAACAACACCTTTGCCACCATTTTCAAACCAAAGATCTTGGCAAACTCGGATATTTCTTGGGTATTGAGGTAGCACAATCTACGATGGCATTGTTATATCTCAAAGAAAGTATGCATTGGATATTTTGGAGGAAACTGGGTTGATGAATTCAAAGCTCGTTGACACACCCATGGATCCTAATACCAAACTCTTGCCAAATCGGGGGGAGCCAATGTCGGATCCCGAACAGTATAGAAGATTAGTTGGAAAATTAAATTATCTTACGATTACTCGCCACGACATTTCCTTTGCGATCGAGTGTGGTGAGTCAATTCCTCAATTCTCCTTGTCAAGATCATTGGAATGCGAGTCATCCGTATATTAAAGTACATCAAAAAGTCTCCTGGAAAAGGTTTGGTGTATGACTCCCATAATCATACAAGAGTTGTCTCGCTATTCGGATGCTGATTGGGCAGGATCTCCCTCCGATAGAAGATCTACATCTCGGGTATTGTGTTTCCATTGGTGATAACTTGATCTCATGGAAAAGTAAGAAACAAAGTGTTGTGGCAAGATCCAGTGCAGAAGCGAGTATAGAGCTATGGCCTCAGCTACCTGTGAACTTATTTGGCTCAAGCAATTGCTTAAAGAGCTACAATTTGGAGATGTCACTCAAATGACACTAGTGTGTGACAATCAGGCTGCTCTCCATATAAGCTCTAATCCTGTCTTTCATGAGAGGACTAAACACATTGAGATTGACTGCCATTTTATTCGGGAAAAGATTATGTCTGGAGACATCAAGACTGAGTTCGTTAACTCATGTGATCAATTAGCAGATATTTTCACTAAGTCTTTACGGGGACCTAGGATGGATTATCTTTGTACCAAGCTAGGCACATACGATTTGTATGCTCCAGCTTGAGGGGGAGTGTTAGATATGATTAGATATTAGTTGATATTGTTTGATATTGTTGAGATATTGTTAGATATTGTTAATCACAATATCAAATAATATCTTTTTGTTTACCTTATTTGTATTCTGTTACTCTTTTGAGGAGTACCTTTCTTTATTATAAATACACTGCCCTATGTGTGGTAAATACATAAGGGAAATTAACCCTATATTCAACACATCCCAATAAAATTATAAATTTTCTTTTAACTCTTTACTCTCTTAACGACCATGTTAAGCTTTGATATCGATGGTATGTGTTTTTGTTAAATGTGGATGTTTTGTTAAATTCAATTCCAGTTAAATCCTTCTTTATTAAGAGCTCAATTGGAATGAGAAATGTTCTTGTTCAGAAGAAAATTAGAATTTGAGCAGGCACAATTCCAAGTGGAGGAGGAAATTAGAGATATCTCTTTTTTGTTCGTAATTAATGTTCTCCTTGAGCTATAAAATGATTAATTCAATATGAAATGAATACATATAGATGCCATAGCATGTTCCAGCTGTTAATAATGGATAATTAGATTTTATTTAATAATGGAGAGACAGATATGACTGGAAATTGAATGTGAAGTTTTGAATCTCAGTATTTTGGTTTGTTGTGCTTTCCATTGGTGCAGGTGTATCTCAGTGAATTCTCATTTCATATTCAGCATGCTTCAGGTCAGAATTAACTCTGTCTAGGGCTATTCCATATTCTGTGTTATGCGTCATAATTGATGATATTGTTAAAATGAACGTTGTAGGCATTCGAACCTCCACTTGACATGAGCCAGGAGATGGAATTTAGAGACGATCCACATCCTGAATCAGCCCAAAAAGATCATTTAGTTTCTGAAGGGATTAATCCTTGTTCATGTGAGTCCGCCCCTGTGAGAATAACATGTTCTGTATCTGATCAGCATTGTTGTGTGGAAGATAGCAATCATACATGCAGATCACAAGCACTGACCCATCCAAATGAGGTTTCTGTATCATTTTTTACTCCATGATCCTTTTTGATTCAATAGATAAGAATTGTGACGTTTCATTGGTTCAATCATTGTTTATTTCATTTAGAAATTTGACTCTGTAGATAACAACAGGAGGTGGACATTGAGAGTCGTCACCAGTCAAATACTGGGAGCCACTCTCCAAGCTTGATAAATACTAAAGAAACTACTGAATATTGTGGAAGTTCTATTACTGATTCCATTGGCAATGTAATTCCTTGTCTGTCGTAATATTCTAAGTCTTTTAATTTTTTAGAGTCACCAAGCTGGTCATGAGTTATGCAAATTCCTTGTTATTAATATTTGATAATGCTATCCTAATTATTGGAAAAGAGAGAAAAAGTATTGATACATTTTAGAGTAATTGAATAAACTCAAAACATCAATTTACTGCTTGTGATATCTTCCTTAGTTAACACCTGTTTTTCATCCTCCTGTCCTACCTTTTTCTCTATTAGACATCCTTGCAAAAAATCCAAGTGTCTTCATAACAAATAAGTCAATGGAAATTGAGACATGTGTTATATAAAAAAATGAGGGTCTTAAGATTGCTTGCTATGATTACATGGAACTAGGATTACTTTTATAAGCTTAAATGTGCATCATTGCAATCCCTTGGACCAATGGTCTTGAGCTTCTCTACTCCTTCACTTCAGGTTCTAAATGTCAAGCTTGATTTTCCCCTATTTAATGGCATTAATGCACTTGTTATAACACCTTGAACCTCAATGTTTAACTATTGTTGTCGTGCATATGGATACTGATACTGTACCTTTGTTCCAAATGTTTGCTAAGAATAATCAATTTTAGTCTTGGATGGGATTTACTAGAGCATTGGAATTTGAATTTGGTCTTTCATCATATGAATACTCACAATGTGCTCTTTTTAAGCCTAATCAGCTTGGATGTGTTCAAGAGTACTATCGTGAGTGGACTGTTATAGAAAATTGGGTAGATTTCACTCTTGATGCATTATTTGATTGTTTTATGAGTGGTCACAAATCTGACATTTGCAAATATGTTTTAGCCTAGGACCCTTCATGCAATATCATTAGCAAAATTGTACAAGGAGAAGTAGATTCCTAAACAAAACTCCTACCTTTCCCGAACATATACCAAATCCACATTCTTTAAGTTGTCCTTAACCACAAAACAACTAGCCTTCCCCACTTTTGCCTACACCAACCAATACACAAATTAGTCAAACTAAAACAAGAAATTCTAGTGTGAGACATCAAACATGCAATTAAGATGTAAAAAGGACCTAGGTTTCATTTGTCCTAATAAACTATTAAGGTTTCAACATAAAATCAATTGACAATATGAGGAGGAGTAACAGGTATTTAAATCATACCACATGACATGAGGTAGGTATTGTGGAACTTCTAACATGTCTCCTCCAACAAAGCTTGTCGGACTAGGCAAAATGATATATTTGACCTACAACGAAAGAACAACTTTTGGCCCAAGATAACAACCGGAAATAAGTTAGACTTAAGTTCTGATATGAACTTTAGAAAACCAATTAGTGTTCCGACATAGTGTATAAAGACACAGTTACTGTTGTATTTATAAAGAAGAGATACAAAAAAAAAGATACAGGCCTCAACCCAAAACCTTAACCCTAGTCTGAGGAGCATACACAAAAAAAAAAACATAAGTTAAAAACCTAAAACATAGAACATATCTCAACACTCTCCCTCAAGTTGGAGCATATAGATTGTATGCACCAAGTTTGAAACTTATGAACTGAATCTTAGGTCCTCTAAGGGATTTAGTTAAATTTTCTGCAAGTTGCTTGAAACTTACAAACTCAATAACGAGTCCCTTGGACATCAACTCCTCTCTAACAAAATGACAAACAATCTCATGTTCTTGGATATTAAAAGAATTGGAATTAAATGTTACAGAACAATTCAAAGAGCTGAGTCAATAGACTTAGAAAAATTAGGTTATAAGGACGATTAGGAATGAAAAGAACAAAGTTTAAATTTAGTGAAGGATTTAAAGGAACTTGGACAACTTCTTGACATATCACTTTGGATCCATTATTCACAGTAATCATCTGACGGATTTTGGTATAGGACATGAAGGAAAATGAGCAACTATTACCAAAGATATGGTCAGAGGTACCTGAATTAAGAATCCATGGATTTCGACCTTCCAAAGATTGAAATGCATGTTGTTGAAACACTTGACATTGAAGAAGATTAACCCTGATTGCTGAACTTTTCATATATGAACCTCAAATATTCCTAATAATCTTCATTAGAAAATCTTCATATCTGACTTTTAGATTGAGACACATGGAGAGTGGTAGTCTTGTCAGAAGGTCTATGTAAGGAATAATAGCTTTTTTGTGTTCCCCATTCTCTTGCAATAAGAGCATTGAGGACGTACACACCTTTCCTTGTGTATCTCTTCTTTATAAATAGAACAATCATAGTGTCTTTATACATTATATTGGAACCCTAATCAGTTTTCTTAGGTTGGTTTCAAAGTTGAAGTCTAATTTCTTTTTGGTTGTTGTCTTGGACTAGTAATGGTGGCAGTGAAAGAGAATGCGCTGGTTGAAGACATTTTAACTAAATCCCTATGAGAACCTAGGATTTAGTTCATATGTTTCAAGTTTGTTGTATACAATCTATATGCTCATGCTTGAGGTGGAGTGTTGAGATATGTTCTATGTTTTATGGTTTTAACTTATGTTTATTTTTTGTGTATGCTCTGATATCATATTAAGGTTTAAACATAAAACCAAATGACAATATGAGGAGTATCCTAACAGATATTTAAACCATACTTCATGACATGGGGCAGGCGCTATGGGACTTCCAACATAAATAATAATTGCCTCTACGTGTGGACAAAGAGGAGGACACACATGTTGAACCTAATCCACATGATGAGGAGCATGATACAAATCCGAAGGTGATTTTAGAGCATCACCTATCTTTCAATGCATTGAAAGAAAGATCTAGTGTTGGTACCATGAAATTTCAAGGCCTTGCTAATTGAATAACAATTCAAATTTTTCTTGACATTGGGAGCTCTGATAATATTTTGCAACAAAGAATTGCAACTTACAATCAACTTCTTGTGGAACCAACTTCTAGATTGGTAGCTTTGGTGGGCAATGGACATGCATTGACATTTGAAGGGAAAATTAAATCTGTCGGTGTTCAAATCCACAACCATGTTTTAGAACTGCATCTATACCTTCTACCAATTTCTAGTGCAAACTTAGTACATGGAGCTACTTGGCTAGAAACTTTAGGAAATCATGTTATAGTCCTTTGACTTTGAAGTTCTATTGATATGGGAATTTCATAACTATCCATGGGGATAAATATAAATTGTTTGTTTAAGCTCAATTCATCACATCAAAAATAGAAACCGAACTAATGTAATTTCTCAGCATACAAATGCAATTACCTTATTACATTGATGATCACTAGTTGTAGGTTACTACTGGTGTTGAACCAGAAGTTTCTATTTTGTTACATACCTTTGATGATGTATATGTTGTTCCTCAAGGTTTGCCTTTGTACAGAACTCATGATCATAGTATTCCATTGTTGTCTGATAGAGAAATAGTTAAGTTGAGGCTTTATAGGTATTCCTCATAGCCAAAAAGAACAAGTTGAGAGAATGGTAAATGATATATTACGAGAAGGTCTTATTACCGAATTACTCCCAGTAATAATCACTTTTCTTCTTGAATTGTCTTAGTAAAGGAAAAAGATGACACATGGAGATTTTTTATTGACTATGAAGCTTTGACTGAAGGGTAGTTATTTGGTGCACAATTCTTTTTCAAGCCAGATTTGAGGTTCGAATATCACCAAATTTTGTTGAGGTGGATGATCAATTTAAAATTATTTTTTGGAACTCATCATGAGCAATATGAGTGGATAGTCATGTGATTTGGCTAGACTAAATCCCCGTGTTTTCAAAGATTTGTTGAGAAATTTATTTTTTGTTTCTGGTCTACTCACTTATATAATTTGAAGATGGTGTTGATTACTAAGCAAACACCAGGTATATTCCAAGTTATGAAAATGTTCATTTGACCTTCTCCAAGTACAATACCTTGACCACAACATCCAGTTGTGTGGGTTTTTGGGAAGTGATTTTAGGAAGTATATTTGAGGATATGCTTCAATTGCATATCCATTGACATAACTACTTAAAAAGGACAATTTTATTTGAGTTTCTCAAGCTATTAGTGTTTTTTAGGCTCTAAAAGTGGTTCTAACCAATGCATCAACCCTTTCCTTGCCAAATTTTTCCCAAGTTTTTGTTCTAGAAAGAAATGCATCAGACACAGGTACTGGGGGATTGATCTTAGCTAAAGCATTCTCTCCTAGTTTACTAAAGATAAGTGCTTATTCAAGGAAACTTTATACTATCTCTTGAAAAATAGATTAACTGAAATATGATTTTTATTATTTCAATACAAAGAGATGATATAAGATATATACAGGAGACCTAAGCTATTTTAGGAAATATAATAACTCTATTTTATGCTAGGATCCCTTGATTTATGGGATTGTTCCTAATTATTCAAATCTGTACAGATTACAAGGAAATATACAAATTTCCTGATTTATTCTTTCCTAAAATACTATTTGATTTCCCACACTCCCCCTCAAGCTGGTGAATAGATGTTTTCCATTCCCGAGCTTGGATACAATCTTCTCAAAATTATGGCAGCCCACTCCCTTGGTAAGAATATCTGCAATTTGGTCTTGAGAGGACACATATGGAGTGCATATCAAGCCACTATCAAGCTTTTCTTTGATGAAGTGTCTGTCTACTTCAATATGCTTTGTTCTATCATGCTGCACTGGGTTGTGGGATATACTGATTGCTGACTTATTATCACAATAGAGCTTCATAGGTTCTTCCCACTTTATCCTCAAGTCTTCTAAGATGATTTTAAGCCATAGTAACTCACATATACCTTGTGCCATGGCTCGGAATTACGCTTCAGACCTGGACCAGAGCCACTACACCCTGCTTTTGCTTCTCCAAGTCACAAGATTTCCTCCAAGAAAGGTGCAATATCCTGTAGTTGACCTCCTATCCACAATTGACCACTGCATAATCGGCATCGAGTATAGGCTTCAAGCTTTACATTACCATTCCTTTTGAATAGAATCCCTCTTCCTGGAGTTCCTTTAAGGTACTGTAAAATTCTGTGGGCAGCTTGTAAATGGGTCTCCTTT